AAAAAGCACTTTATAGTAAATAGATATTTGTCATATGAGGCTTATCTATAATTAACAGCAAACACACTTAAAAAGACTTCAAAATATTGTAGCAATAGAGTATATAGAGCAATCTATATCCTAAGAAACATCTGGAATTTCGATTTAAATGATAATTTAACACAATCCGTTTTGTATTAAAATGATGGTGTCGGTAGTAGATTTTGACCATCAAATTTTTATCATCAATTGAAAATAAGATACGACATACGATGAATTGCTATTATAGAAGTAAAGCTTGTGTGCGGTGCAGAATTTAAAGAATAAATGTTAAAATTAAGCAAATTTACATCACCAAAAAAATTGATCTTTTAATAATAAGATATATAATTTAATTACTGTTTGAGAGAGTGAAAACTGCAAACAGTAACATCATTTATTATATTTGAGCAATTAACATCATTTATTATATTTGAGCAATTAACATCACTTAAAAACAGAAATCGAGACTGGCAAAAACTCAAATGAAATTTACGCAGTTGCTAAATGTTTGTACATTAATACAGAATAAACAATTTAAAAGCATTTATCACTAAAATACCCGTCAATCTTTCATTGTTTAGTCAAAGTGATTTATAGCGGAAGACAAAAAAGTCAAAGGACGTTAAAATCCAGAAAATAAATGAGAAAATTTATTTTTAATTATGATTTAGACTTTATAAAAATGATTATTTGTTTATGTCTTATGTACTAGAAATTACTTGTAAAACAAATTTTGACAGCCGTTGGACACGTAAGGACGGATACGTTACGCAAGTGGGGAGAAGATGTTTTTACTAAAGAATCATTTATAATTTAAAAAATAGAAGGATCTAAAATACTGTATTTTTTGCTTTATATGTACTGTTTTAGATCTGAAATTTATCAGAAAATTAGAATAAGTAAGACAAGTCTTATGAATACTTTCCCTTCCCCAGTAAATTGATGTAAAAAAATGAGCATCCAGCATAATGGCGTATCTCATGAGGCAAAAAATATGATAGCTAAAATTTAATTTTGAATAATATTCAGCCAAAATTTAGATAACTAATCAATTTGTTTAAACCAATTTCTGATATATTCTGCGTAAAATCAAGGATTGTATCTTACTAAAATAATTCTTCTAACTTGGTTATTCTATTTAGTAAATTAAAATTTCAAGTTCAGCACTGCAAATAAACGGATCCATTTTTCTTTCCATATAAATATGTATTTGTCTTCATTCTGTTTAATCTAACATAGTCTCGATCTGTTATCTTCGAAAACGAATTTTTAACCGCTTTCTACGAGATTTTCAATCAAGAATTTTGGCACGTTTACAAAATGCAGTTCTCTTCCAATTACTGCCAAATAAATTAAATTTATTTTTGTCGGAGTGTATAATATATTTACAAGTCGACATTACTAAATTATACAAAAATAAGCAAACTGTCAGTCACAATTTTTGATGTATTAAGCAAATTAAATAGCTTTTGTCCAATCGTACGTCTCAAAATTCTCATTAGTAGAGTTGCATTTTAATTCGATAATTTATTATCTTGTTTATGATGTCTTTCATCTTGTTTTATAGCCTATAAGATTCTTTTGACAGTTCTCGTTAAAATTCTGCCAACTTAGAGAATTTTCCCAGTTTTGTTTTGTATTAAACGGATAACTTTCTTATCTTATGATCTTTAGTCACATGGTAAATGTATGCAAACAACACTTTACTATATGATTTTAGCAGAATATTAAGATTGTTCTCTAAAAGTCTATAATTTAAATTTTAATAAATGACAAAATTCTTGCTAATTCTTTAGCAAGAATTTGCCAATCTCTTACAGCAAATGGTCATTACATTAACTAATTTATAGAGGATGTTGGAATACAAAAATATCACAGAAAAGGATGGCACAGAAAATCGAGAAAAGTATCTCTCTTCATTTATCTTTCAAAAGTGAATCCCATTATAGATGAAATATTTAAGTTAATCTTTGGCATTATCTTCAAAATTTGGCAATCGAAATAGGATAATGCAGGACAAATGGTTCATTTGTGCATATCCTCCATTAATCTTCTTCAGATTTAAATAATATATCATTATTTCATTTTCAATCTCACAGAAAATATATTTTTTTAAATCAATGATAATTTAGAGTAAGTAAGTTTCAAAGATAAGACTGAAAATCTACATCCTTATAAATAACTTTTTAAGGATGTAAGCACGTCTCGTGTTTGTTTTTTTTAATCATCCTCGACTCAAGTTAGAATCAATCCATGTTTTAAGACGATTATCTATTAATATATTTTCATCCATTGTTGTTGTTCAAATTAAGTATTTAGTAGTAGGCTATCTGACGTCAATCCGATTAAGTCTCGAAAGCATTTGTATTCAGAGAGAACATTTTAACTTCCACATACAATTTCAAACAATCCAAAATGCTAAAGAATCGATAAACGTATAGAATATAGATATCCCTCCATTAATATGGTTAATTAATCCCTCAATCATACAATCAAAACACGATATCTATGTTAAGTAAAAACAGCTGATAAAGCCACATAAATTAAAACTTCTGTCACACACACACACAGGGATTATCGCAATTAATTTCACATGTTAATCAAATAATTCATTAAGCAAGGAATACCCATAATATACTTTCTAATGATCAATTGTGAGTCTCGCATTTTTCTCTTTTGGACTTTACTTAGATAAAGACAATCTGCTCCGTTTTTTACACATTTCTTAGAAGATAAAGGAAGGGTATATTGGCAATAAAATGCTCTTACTTCTCTACCATTACTTCTCAACAGCATTCTAAAGATTGAAATACATAACTTTCATTCCAGGATCATTTTTAATCATACTAAACCATAAATTTTCATTTGTTCTTTCTACAAATATTCACAATTCGGAATTTCTGTTCCAATTTTAAATTGTCTTTGACGGCTTCTGCTCGCTCTTTTAGACTCAAACCGGCTACGGCACAACATTTTACAGATAGAGAATGCATTACGCATTTACTTCTGCTTAATTTTGCATTATGATTCTTTACCTTTGATTATTTCTACAATAGTTGTTAACAGATTGTCGAAAATCTATAGTTTAATTGGAATATTATACACAAAAATCGTTTTTAACACTCTTAATACAGACAATTTATAACTATCCATGACAGATAAAGACACAACATTCTTAATTAAAAATTTCCATAAGTTAGTTTTTGCGTTTAAGACATTTATAAATAAATTTCGAGAGATTTTTGTTAACTTATCCATGGCGTAATAAATTCGTGCAGACTTTGATAACGAATTATCTCGCGACACTGTTTACACTAATGGAATTTACCCAAAGGATACAATGCATACGTCAGCAATTACAAATTTTTTTAAATATAAAAATCTCATTTCCTTATTACAAATTCCAACAAAAGCAGTTTTTTTTATATTACCGAAATTATATAATATAATAAATCTATAACAATTAGTCCTTATTTTATAGTTTTACTTCAAGGAGCACTATTTTAATACACATAATTGTATAATATTGAGCACTGCTAAACTTTTGTTAAATGTCACTTTTGTTTATTTTACAATTTATAATCTAATAAATACAAACTTTGACTTATAAACAAAAACTAATATTTATTATTTTCTTCACAAAATTTGTATAGACTGGAGTGACCGTTGACGATAAAATAAATGCCAGCGTGTGCTTCACTAACGGAAAAAAACTGACTAGTGTTTCCTTTGCTACGTCGAATCTTTGGATCCTCTATATTGGATTGGAACGCGTGTACGACTTCATTTTTGATTTTTCGGATTCCATTTAGAAGATCCAGCATGGTTGTCAAAAATACGGGTCCATTTTTTTTCTATTAGTAAAGCACGTACTAGAGTTTATTTTTTGGTTCCTTTGTGTGTTTTGGTCTGTTTAGTTAAACACGCAGAGGAACCAAAAAATAAACTCTAGTACTTGCTTTACTAATAGAAAAAAAATAGACCCGTATTTTTGACAACCATGCTGGATCTTCTAAATGGAATCCGAAAAATCAAAAATGAAGTCGTACACGCGTTCCATTCCAAAATAGAGGATCCAAAGATTTGACAGCAAAGGAAACACTAGTCCATTTTTTTCAGTTAGTAAAGCACACGCCGGCATTTATTTTATCGTCGACGGTCTCATTTTACTCCGTTTACATTTATTGGATTTGTGTTCACATTATACGTAAATTACTTTTAAATCCATTCCGTGCCAAAAAAACTCGTCTTCACCCGTACCGACGAGACGGGAGCCAGACGTATCCAAAATCGAACGGCCCCGCGAATTTCCACGGATCCGACCGGGACTTGAAACGGACTCACCGGAGAGCGCACATCCCACGGCCATACACTACTGTACTCTTGGTTTTCGGCCAACGAGAGAAATCTTCACGCAAACCGCAGATTCGCCCGATCCACAAGTCGGACGCATCCGGATCCAAACGACCTAAACGGTCTCCACGGATCCGAGAGACCTTTTCGTCATCCGCTTACATACATTTTGTTTACGTACAGACAACCGGCACGACTACAAAATCCGACTTTCACGGCCACAGATTTCACACCGAGGGTTACAAAACGAAGCATCAGTCACCGTCTTACGTAAATTCGATATAACAAAAATCGAAATTACGTCGAAACGCAGATTTTAAAACAGGTTTGGATAAGTTTCCCCCGACGACGAAATTACTGGAAATTACACGGGACTTTTAAACACTGGTTAATTAATAACAGATTTATAAACTTCATTAATAATGCGCTATTACGTATTCACGCCATCGTACTTTAACGTTCGTGTGCACACAAAACGCTTAAGTTAAACATCATTGAGAAAACGAGAAGAAAAAAAAAGGAAAAGAAAAAGAAAAAAAGGAAAACAAACAATGGAGGGAACTCGACTGGATAACGTTAATTAGCATTTGTCGTTGATAAATGATAAGTCGAGCGGGTTTACTTACACGGTTATGTTTCCCGCACCTCTAATGACTACGGGTTCTGGTAATACGGTGATGACGCTTTCGTCCAGATAGCTTTGATCTTCGTCTTCTTCGTAAATCGCATCGAAGTCCGCCATTTGCCTCTCTTACTATAACTAACACATGCGACACCTGCCGGTTTAAATAGAAATTATTACCGCAACGCTATCTTCGTTTTTAAATTAATTTAAAAATCGATCCGATTATTTGAATTTTTTTTTTTTTTTTTCAAATTCGTCTTATTTTTAATTTTAATTTAAAAGCTTTATTATTCACGAAGGATTTCGTGAAAGTAAAAGTGTACAATTTTTAAAGCGAAATAAATTTTTATGCATTAAATTGTTTAATTAATTAATCGTCTGGCTCGTTTTCTATCTATCGCGATAAATAATTTATCGTTGGGTGGCGATTCGAATTCGTCGACAGTTTGAATTTGTTGCCGACAGATGGCGATACGAGAGGAGTTTTTTCAATTTTTTTTTTTATAAATAGAAAATTTTCTTTAAATATTTAATTTCTTAAAAATAATCGAATTACAAACTTTTCTGTGCGATTATTTTACTTTAAAATGGCGGTGTTAGGTTAAAATTATGTTATACACGCCCCCCGCACTTAATTTGAAATCGTCGATTATAATTGGACGACGTAGAAATTTTTAAATTTTCAAATTTTTAAAAACAGAACTGTACGCGTTAACGGTAGTGTTTGGCCGAAACCGATGGAATTATTTCTTTAAAAATGAAAACAAAGACACGAACTTGGATAAAGTCATCAAATTTTATTAATATATCTTTTTTTATTTTTTCCTCATTAAAGACTTTTCTGTAACTAACGGTGGACAATCGGCAACATTATTTATCATTACAGTTTCCATCAAAATCACTTTCTAAATATTGTAAACAAACAAATCGTTAACAACCTGTATTCTCGGTAATGCTTACAAAAATATATACCCCGTATGATGACGTAAACGCCGACTCTCTACGTCACCCGGAAAGTGACGTAGAAGCGGGCGGTGATGTCATAGATGCCTAAAAGTTGTAAATATTTGTTCGCAAGTGAACAATCGTGAACAATAGAGATGTGCAGTCAGTTTCGAGTTTAATTTAAAAAAAATCGTGATTATAAATAAATAAATTTTAAGATTAATTTAATAATTTTTTGGAGATTTTCGAAACCAAAATGCTCACCTCGGCTCGGCTCTAACCTGTGTGTTTTTTAGTGTTTTTTTTTTGGATTATAGATAAAGCGTGAATATATAATATAAGCAATATCACAGAACCAACACGTGGATCTCCGACTTCTAACAACGATTTTACACGATGACAAAAATCTAAATAGAACTTGCTACGTCGATAAAGTTTGAATTTTTCGGAACAACAAATCACAACACACAAAAATGCAACGTCTGGCCAATTGTACGCTTCGTAACAACGCTAACTCATTGTTATGCTTTTACCGTAAACGTCATAATAACAACGCTATCTCATTGGTCGATATCCGGCATTTGTTTTAATGAGGTTGTGTATTTATAAAGTTAGTCGCGGGTTCGAGTTCTGCGCTTCTGTCGGATGGAAGCGTTAGGATGTGTTTTGTTTCTGTATGGAAATTCTTTCTCTCTCTCTCTTTGTGCGAATTGTTTTGTTCTATGCTCCTAACAAACTCTAAGATCTGTGGTGTGCTTCGTTTGGCACTACGCTGCCTCCTCGGTTACGGATATTTTCGGGAGTGTTGAGGTGGTGCAGTTTCTTATTTGGATGCCACCCTGATCAATTTGTTACGCTGCACCGCCGGCGGTTTCAGGCGCTGAAGGGGAGGCGCTAGTTCCTTGGCTGCGGAGGACGACGTGGCTTTCATGAAACCGAAGGTTTTCTGCGGCGGCGCGTTCTTCTTGGAGGAAGAGGCGACGGTTTCTTTGACTCGGTTGGGCACGCTGCTCTTGGGTGGTTGAATGCGGCTCGGTTTGGGTCGAGATGGCTTGGGAACCACTTGCGTTTGGGGTCTGGCACGGGACGGTAACTTGGTCTCTCTGGAGGGCACCTTGGACGTGGCTCTTTGAGACTTCTCGACCGAACACTGGCGCTCGTTGGAACGGCTTCTCACTTCCGTGACTTGAACTCGGTGGGGCGGTTTCAGCACTCGCGGTGCCGCTTTAGACTTGTCCTGGGCGGCGGTTCGCGATGTGGAATTCGGTACCGGTTTCGGGTTCGAAACCTGTCTGGATCTGTTGACGGTCGGAGGGCGGGTGATTCTCGATACCGGAGCGTCTCCACTCAGACTAGTCCTGGAACTCCTCAAACTACTATTTTTGGAACTAGTCTGACGCGGTTCCATTAGTCTGTCAGTGACCACGCTCGGTTTCTGAAGGCGAGTCTGGGCGCCGGTTTTAGGCTTCGGTAGTCCGCTGGACCTCTCCGGTTTGACGGGTCTTCGCGTGTTTTCTACCCTGGATCTAGAAAGTCGGGACTGTTCTACAGGAATCTCCTGTTTGCTCTTTCTCTTCTGTACGGGCGAATGCTGTTGAAGCTTTTTGATGGCGGCGATGGTTTCGTTCGGTTTCTTCTTAGGCGGCGTCTTGGGCGAGTCTGCCAAGTCGATATCGCACGAGCAACTCGATCCGGCACCTTGGGATTGGGTGTCGCTCAGGTGAGACCTGGTTTCGTCGAAACCTTCGTCGCGCTCGGCCGTGCCACTGGTTTTGTGACGTAACAACGGCGAAGGAACGGAGTCCGTTTGAGAGAGTATGCCGCTGTCTTGCAATTTCTGTCTTTCCGAAGACTCCGACTCCAAACTAATACTATTTTCGCATATTTCCGTAATGTCCTCCTCCGCATCTCTACTCGTGGACGAATCTTGGGATCTCTTTTGAGTGTCCAGAAGCTTTTTGGAGATCTGCACCTCTTGTTTCTTTTCTTCTAACTTCTTTTCTTCTTCTTTCTTAGCTTCTCGGGACTCTTTCTCTATATTTTCTTGAGATTTGAGTATTTCTAAAGATTTCTTCTTTTGCACTTCCAACTCTTGCTGCTTTCTCAGGGCTTCTGCTAGGTACAAATTGTCCGATTCCTCTTCTCTCTTCTGTTCCTCTCTCACCGATCTGTCCGTGCAATCGGAAATCCTCGTGGCATTTTTGAAGTTCTCCGTCAAGGATTGCAACCTCCTGGCCAGTCTGGAACGTAACGACATGACTTTCTCTTTTTTGCGAGTATCCGTGGAAACGTCCTGCTGATGTTCCTCCTCCGGTTTAGTGGCCGAAACGGCTTTTCCTCCCGCCTGGTTCTTCTCGTGAATGGGGGATAAAATCAATTCCTTATTAACTGGGGAAACGACCGACTGGTTGATTTCTTCGTCGTCGCTATTGCGATTGCGAGATCTCGAACGGGATCTTCGCGTCGTCTTTCTGATGATGGAAAACCTGTCAAAGTTTCCTTCGTGATCGGTTTCTGGCGAAACGCTTTCCTCCTGTGCTGGTTCTTCCACAGATTCGTCGAATTCCAGGAATTTCTTGTACCTGATGCATCTCCTCATCATTCGTTCCATTTGAACGGGATCGTTATGGTTAGAGTCCGTCGATGGATTCTCCTCCGCCACGTCCCTCTTTCTAATTCTAGAAATTCTGGAGACGTCTTGATTGGGGTCGGCATTCGTCCGAGACGAATCAGGTATCTCATTCCCGGCTCGAATCTGTGAATCCGGAGCAGATTCTTGAGTTTTACGGTCGACTGCCTCTTCTGTATTTTTCTTTTCCGCTTCGTTTCCGTCTTGAAGAGAAGAAGCGGATATCGATTTTTTCCACTTGGGTCGATTTTCAATTTTGGTCTGTCTCTGTTCTTCTACCGCTTCTAGAACTTTTTCTACGTCCGTGTTGGACATGGAATCTCTCAATTTCGTGACGTTTTCGATTTCTTGCCGTTTTTTTCTTTCGGAAGCCAGCTTTTCTTTCAGTTTCATCTCCCTTTCTTGTTCTCTCTCGTTTTCGTGAAACCACTCTTCGATCTTCCTCTTCCACAACTTGGGTTTCACTTCTAATTCGGGATTGTCGATGGTGGGGGATATCGGCGAAGCGGGCCTTTCTCTCTCGTTCATTTCCAAGATGTCTTGACGCCTCCTCCGCCCGCTCGACCTTCTGACCAACGCTTTGTCTTCTATGCTGTTCCAAGATTTCCTATCTTTCCCTTGCAGATCTTGGTCCGCTGCCTGGCGAAGATATTCGATGAGGTTATCGTCTCCGTCCGAAGACATTCTGTTCCTTCTTCTTCTGAGACTTCCGTTAGGTGTCGTGTCCGGAGAATCTCCGTTTTCTTCTCCGTTGGAAGTACTCAAAGAACTAATCCTTCTTCGAATAACCCTAGGCGACACTCCCGTTTCTTCTTCGGATGGAACGCTGCTGTTCTGGCTGTTAGTTCTTATCAAGTCTGACCCATTCTCTCCCAGAATCCTTCTTCTTCTTCCTGGACTTCCCGTGACGTCGGTGATGCGGTGGAACCCGTTTCTGATGTCGCCCAGCAACACGTCCACGATGTGTCCATCCGCATCGTTCGATGCCAAAGAATTGGATCTTCCTTCCGACGCTGGAATAAAATTAAAATTAAAATTTTTCTATGGCAAATAATTTCGATACAAACGGGGAAATGTCCGTTTACCTCCTGAGCTGCGTCGCTTCAAGTTCATTTGTTCCTCTCTCTGTTTTCTTCTCACTTCAGCGAGCTTTTCTTGCTGTCTTCTCCTTTCGTTTTCCTGAATAAAACTTATCATTTACCGGCGTCCTTTTTAAGGAAAAAATATGTTTTACGCCAATATTTACGTACCTCGACGGCTGTCTTGAATCTTTGGCAGAAATTGTGAAATACTTTGAAACATTCTTCCAGTTTGAAGGTTTGTAGATCCTCGCAGAGAAACTCGGCCAGACTGATTCGAACATTTTCCAGATTGCTAATATCCTGTTCAATATTTTCTACCACTAGTTTAGCATACTGAAAAAGCAATGCGCATTTACGTTAGGTACCGCGTATAATATAACAAAGGCGGGGAACCCGTGGCCTTGTTTCGATTCTAGCGTGGCCGAAGAATATAAAATGGTTGGGATTTTATTTTATTTTCAAAATCTGAGTTGTGATAACGTTTCTCTGTATTATTTCGATAAAGACAATTTAAGTAAGCTTTCTACGTATGCAGTTATACGAGACGTACCGTGGCCTTCCGGTTAAAAAAGGGTTCCCCGCCTCTGAAATGTACGAAATTCATTAGTTTTACCTTTAGAAATTCTTCCATTTGTTCTTTGATGTCTTTTCCCCCAGTTTCTACTTGCCGACAGATCGTAGACACTTTTTCACTCAAACTGGATACGTCAGATTTTAAACTTTCTATCGACACTCTAAAAAATATGAGAATTTATAAGAATTCGATATCGGGTAATAAAAATTGAAAATTCATAAATCGATGTGTACTGACTTGGCTGCTTCTTCCAAATTCACCATTGTATCTGGAAACTTGAGAAGTTTCGCATTTTTCTTCTCCGCTTCCTGATTAATCAAAACAAATGGATAACATTTAGAAACGCCTCGGCATCCGGCGCATTACAATAAAACAATATAATTTATGCGCGAGTCGTTTCCGATAATATTTCTTGCGATTTTAACGTTTCTCAATGGAGATATATGGTAAAATATTCAATTTATAAAGCAATTTGTTATATCTAGTGTTCTTCTTTAACGACAGGAAGACGAAACGAAAGAGGTGTCGAAATGATAATCGTAATAGGAATAAATCAACTTATAATACAGTCTCGAATGGCGTGTGAGCTTACTCTCGAAGAGAGACCTAATTCTTCGAGAAATCTGCCACTCTGCACGTGGCAGAGCTCGTTGAAAAGGTCTACGTCACACTATAATCCGCGTAGTCGTAGATAATAGGCGGCCCGAGCCGAGTCAGAAAGGGGTGGAAGGAGGAACGGATCTGATCTCTTTTTATATTTGTATTATACGTTTTATTTTTTATCATTCACTCTCAATTCTCACGCGTTAATCTCACGTTTCCTTCCATCCCTTTCGTCCGATATAGACTTCTCCGGCTCGTGTTTACTCTTCGGCCGCTCGGACTATAGCTAACACTACCTTCTACGGCGTTTATCCTCCACCAATATATTAATTTTTTATTTAAAAATTTTTGTAAATGAATCGAGGGCGGATAAAATTCGAGAAGGTGATTTTTAGATATAAATCTTTTGTATACGAATAGACAGCGCGTGGCATATTCTGTTAAATTTGTCTGTCGTAGACTTTAGGGAAGGGGGCATTAACTGTGGATAAAAGTGATCGATAAGAAAAACAGTTTCTTCTACGTCTAACAAATCGATTTTCTTTATCCCTTATCTAAACGAGTACTTTCTAACTAAAAGACAATAATTGGATCCAGAATTACTCTCGATAAATTATACGGAAGTTAGAAAGAGTCGGTCAATTATCGGCCATTTCTCTGGACTTTTAATGCGTTTTTTTTTAAATTAAATGCTAATTCCAAGTTTCCAGAAATTATTTGCGTAAGCTTTTATAAAATCGATAATTCCGCGGAAGAAAATTTTAAAAATTCAGAAGTTTCTAAAAGTGAGGAGGTATAAATTTTTAATACTATCTAAACGAATTAAGTTTTAAAAATTATTTAAGATTTTATTAACGAAAGCTAGTTATAGGTTTAAGTAACGCAAATTACAGATTTAATTCGATATTACGCCACTCAAAATATCGCCAATTTGTGCCCCAAACAGATGTATTGAGTAAGAAAAAGACGAGTTCGGGACATTCGAATGGACTCGCACGAGAAATAACGCTTAGATTACTTTTAAAATACATGAAATTTGGCTTACGGAGATAAAATATCCCGCCGATAAGTCGTAATTATTAAAAATAACAATTAATCTTGATAAAAAGTTGCCATAACAACCTAGTCTGCTCTTCCAATAAGTGGCTTTCGGAATTTGTGACGGTAACCACCGCAGCAAAACATGGCTCGGCTTCTTAACGTCACGGTTACGTCGTGCTTAATCCCATCGGCCTTTTCTGGTTTGCCCACGCGTGAGGCAATTAATTCGCATTCTTTTTAAGAACGATCGATTATAATTTATTTTCGTCGTTTTATTTTACGTTTCCTCCGAACTGCGGAATAATTGCAAAATGGAAAACGACCGGCGAACGGATGCGATAAAAACTCGGCGTAAACCGTGGTTCCGGATTCGATTTCTGCTCCAAATCTTTGGTTGCCAACGCGTAGAGGTACCAAAGGCACGTTCTGTAAAGCAGTGGTCCCCAACCCCCGGGACGCCCAAGGAACATTAAATTATTTCCATTTTATTTACTATGGTGTGTTTCCTCGGATTTGTGCGACTTTTAATGGACGACGGAACAATAGAATAAACTGGACATAAGAAACACACTTCGGGTGTCACTCTCTCCTATTACTCCCAGAGGGACCGTCTCGTTGCAATGAAACAAGCTCGGGGTTCTCATTGATTTAGCGTTTTAGTGAGTTAAATGTTAAATCACATTATATTCATTTTTTGGTGTAACTGTATTTTATTTCGAAGGCGTGTTTAAATACAATTAAATTAAAATTATTAAATTAAATCAATCTAAAATATAAACAATCAACGCTCCCCCCTCAGTGGGCCGCGGTAAAATGATCGAACTTTGACCGGTCCGCGGCGATAAAAAGGTTGGGGACCGCTGCTGTAAAGCGCGCGCCTTTGGTACTCGATCGTTCCTAACGACTCGTTAGCGTAATGGAAAAAGAACGAGTTCCGAATGATAGTTCTCGTTGTCGCTTAGGGAAAATCCCCACGGGAAAGAAATCGGAATAAGAATTTAGAGAAATTTTCCTTTTCCGTAGTGCAAAACGAGTCGAGAGAGTTTTAACTTTTCCTCTACCGAATCCGGTAATGGAATTTCTCCATCCAATAGCCAGCGACGCCGTCACCACTCCTAGGCGTCTAGTCTCCAGTTACGTAACAACGCGAATAGTCTGGAGGAACGAGTTAGCACCACGTGATACGCGGACGGGGATTTTATCGAATCGTTTGTAAAGAGGTTCGATTCACCGAATTGTCCGTCGTACCAACGAAGCGCCGCGATGGCTTCTCCCTCCCTTTGAATGTACGATAGCGACGCGATTGCTATAGCAGCCGATATCCGACATTTTAAATTTCTTCTACGGAGATAACGATAACGCCATGTTAATTACGAACAGAATTACCAGAGAATTATTTATCCGTGGCGATTTTCCGCAAGAGGGAACGCGGCTTAAGAATCGAAAGCGTGCATTTTTCGACTCCGGCGATTCGTTTCTTAACTTCTCGAGCGAGAAACCGAAATCGTTTGGTTTTCTACTCCAGCGATTTCTCGACGTTTCCCCTTTGGGAATTCGAGTGACGAATATTTCCCATTCCAACTGTTCCCAGACTAAACGTCGGTCGGTGTTAGAATAGAATACACCAAATGATCGTTGCCATGAAATTTTAGCGCGTGCGGATGGTGAGTTTACTAAAAGGTTTCGGAGATTAATTTCGTTTTATCCGCGTGACATATTTTAAATAATCGAAATCTTACCAAAGCAACGTAATGGATGAGGTTCATGCCGGGTTTATTGGCACGAATATCAGCGAGCTTCACCAAAGACATCATCTTAAAACCCGCAGCATTTCCTGCATAACCACCCTGCAATTAAATCGTAAAAATTACAAATATTTTATAAACTTTAATTTCTTTTCGTCTGGCCACGCGCCAATAAAGACTTTTCCGCGCTCGAACCCGAATCGCGAACGGGATAATCACGTTTCGCGCCACAGTTGCGGTTAGAATAGTATTTTCTTTGTTACGACCGAACTTATTTATACGAATTTCAGTAAACGCGAGAAATTAAACGGCAAATAAGGCAGAAAACCAACTTACAGCATTAAGGAAGTTCCCAGCTACTAGCACCATGTAGAGTATTTCGTGCAAGTCTTTACACTCTTTGATCTCTGAAATAGAACACGGGACGTGGCGCCACTTTAATATACGAATCGCCGGTGTTGTCGGTGGTAAAACGCCAAGAAATATTCGCTTTCCACCTACCTTGAGCGGCCATGTTGACACTTTCGATGGCAGGTTCTAAATAAAGCAGATTTGCAGAAAATTCGTCCTTCAAAAGCATGCTTTCAATCCGGAGACGATAGCTGAAAATGACGTCAAATACTTAAAACATTTTCTTTTTAAATAAAAGAACTTGGAATTATTCGTTCAAAACAATAAAATGTCGGATAAAAATATTTAGAATCTTACTGCGGCAGTTCCACCAGCTGTAAAATGAATTTTTCGGCATTTCCAAGTTTGCTTTGATCCCCGTCGTAACCACGTAACATCTCCACCTGAAAAAATGACATTTTGACACTTTTTTTAGTTTATAAACCGATCAAAATACTAAAACTATTTCAAAGAATACAAATAAGACACCGACAAGTTCGGTAATTTGCATTTTTAACGGGGAATTATTCATAAAAGACGATACGAATAACGACAATTTAATTGTTTAAGGACGTTGAGGAACCGGTCAAATCACCTTATTAATCATTCGAATATTTTTAATTTTCGAGCGAGTTTCACCTTTCTGGTTCTTCCGGGTCGGCCATTGTGTGGCAATGTAGAAAAGAGCATCCTCTGACGGTGTTACGTCACTGAAGAGTCAGAACGACTGAGTCAACCCAGTCGCATCGGGCAGTTCACGAATGAGTAACGCGACGTGTAGGAAGCATCGGTTCAAAAATGGACGGATCGATAACGGAATTTGTGGCATATTAGTATTTCCCACAATGCACGAAAGTTTTCTTTGTCGGCGATCTCTCTTCTACTTATAAACTGTGAGAAATTGCGTTAGACGAGTCAGTCGAGAGCGATGGCAATTTGGTCTTTCTGTGTGAAAATACCATCCGCTCCTATTCGAAAACCGGGCCGTGGATAAAAAATTCTTTCTGTCCCAAATTTTGCTCTTCTACGCACACGAGGACCGTTTGTTTAATCATAAAATCCCATTAATTAATACGAGAAACTGAACGAATGGCCGAGGTGGCTAACGAGTAAAACGTGAAGAAAATCCGGGAAACCACGTGGCCGGCCACGTGGTTTCCCGGGGCACCGATGCTATTAAATTTTGGTGGTTAAAGGTGGTTAAAGGGGGATCAAGTGTCGTAATTACAGCGGGGTCGGACGTACGATGCATACACTATACTGGACTCGGCTATACGATACGTATCCTACGCATCGTCTATATTCAAACATCGCTATAGCCTTGCCATTTGTTAGCTTTAAATCCGGTGTGGCGCCGAATTAAAGTATCTCGAACGATAAAAATTATATGTACTGTAATAATATATCCTGGCGCGTGCAAAAGTTAGCCCTGTGTGCGCTATTTAGGAAAACGCTACATCGAGGTTTGACCGTATACGTTTTAAAAAAATTCCATGTATTTGTAAATTTAATCGATTCTCTCTCAGTTTCGAATAAGAAATGTTTTTCTACTTTTCCTTATTTCAGTATCAAATTTTCGGTATTTTTTTTACAAATGAATTATATAAATTAGAGGGTTGGCAAGTTAATAAGGGATTTTCTACAAAGAGTAAAGGAAGAAATAAAGAGTGAAGAGGAAAAATCGAAATAAATGTGAAATGGGATCCGAGATCTGACAAAATTAGAATGGTCAAAATAACAGACGAGTGTGTATACAATGGATCAAAGCCATCAATTTGCTCGGGAGTGAAAAATGATACCGAGAAAATTCTTTTAAAGTGTCTGACGTTTAAAAATATTGATAAATGGAATGTTTTGAAGAGACCCGACGGAGAATTTTGCTTTTTATTCGAAATTTCCCGGTTAATTCGATTAGAAAATTAACCGTCGGGCCCTCTGCCAGCGCCCGACAGGGCCCGGGGTTCTCCACCTTTAGGAGGCTGTAAGAGGCCCGACTAGAGTTATAATCCGTAAACGATGTTTTGGAGTAGGGCAACGCAACGCGTGGACGATTTGCACGGGCGTAAATTCGTACAGTACACGGGGAACGTATTCTTCAATATTTTTATTTTATGCCAAGCTACGAAAATTTGGAGTCGAAGCGAGTTCGGCACACAAATGGTAAACTTTATTTTTTACGTTCGCTCCAAACTCGTTGTCATCGACCCGTCCACCAGGATCGACACCCCTGGCAATTTGCCAAGGGGATGACTCCCGGGAGGAGGTTTTCTATGGGGAACCGGCCCCCATTTAGGCGTTATACGGGCGAAGAAAAGACGAAAAACTCCGGGTGGAGGATCCGTGGGGAGGTGCGAACCCTCGACCGACTATTAGCGTTCGGTAGATTTATCCACCGGGTGGCCGGTGGCGTATTAAACCGATTTTTTACAGAGCCGTTACGAATAAAAACGTAAAGACCACCGTCTCTCACTAGAAATGGAATTTAGACGAGCATAAACAGGAAAAAATAAGAAAAAATCCGAATAAAAAGTACAAAGTACAGAAAACTCCGACGAAAAACGTAATGCAGAAAGTTCAAATTAAAGGGGGAGGAATCAAATCTTAGTTAAAAAAAATGGAAAGGAAGAAAAAATTTGGCTTTTAGATTAAAATGCCGGAGGACAGAGGAAGAGAGAATGGTTAGAGTGACGTCGGAAACGAAAATAACGTGTCTGGAAGAGAAGAAAAATAGGAAGTTACGAAATATTCGATTACTTCTGTCGATAAGACGACGAAACCCTTTATCGGGTTAGGTCGTAACCGAGTTATTTTGATTGATTCCAAAAATTATTGGGGTGAGATTTAGAAAATACAAACGACGTTCACCCCGCCGTCTCTCGCTCTATAACTGAGCGGCAATTTGAAAAAAATTGAAGACCTATAAATCTCCAACGTCGTCCATCTGTCCTTCCTTAATCTCCAGTACGAGCGGTCAAGGTGGCAGCCTACCGCTCTGGGAGGCCCGGGTCAAGGAATCCCCAGGAATTTTTCGGGGGAGTGGTCCGTTAGATATGTCGGGCCCCGTCCTCACCACCCGGTCGCCCCATTGTGGGCCTGGCTGAACCTACAATGGGCCTGGCTGAACCTACAATGGGCCTGCCATAAGAGGCCCTTTTAGTGCCCACAGGGCGGAAAGAGTATTAAAAAAATAATAATATTAAAAAAAATCTCCAGAACGGAGTTAGATACATAAAATTGGGAACAGATAACGAAAGATTAGGAACAGGAGGTCCCGATCAACTGCATACGAACTTCCCGTGCAAACCGGAAGTCACGTTATTTCAATTGAAAAATTTTCCTCCGAAATGAGTTAGATAGGTGAGGACACGATTTAGCTGCTAACGGGAAAAGTATTATGAACGGGAGCACGCCACTTCTAATTTGAGGTGGAGAGCATATATTTTAAGTTAAATAAATGAAAAATATGATTAAAAATTGCAGTCCGGCATTGTGAATACCTGGACCAAGGAATAACTATAAATAATTTTACATCATTTGGCTGGCAATTTGCCAATCCGCGTGGTGAAAGACGGGAAATTCTCAAATATCCGCAAGGCGGGAACGTGGGAACTTATAAACAGCGACACAATAGTAAACACCTAGATTAAAAGAGGCCGCGATTATGTAAATAAGAACAAGACCCGGGCGAATCCTTTAAATTGTAATTTGCATAAATCGATTTCCCGGTCGGTGTTCCGGCACCAATTAATTGAAGTAAGAAAGGGCAAAATCTGGAATTACCTGGTGTTTCCACCGCCTGCCAGAAAACGCGAAACGTATCGATTCGCATTTAACTTATAAATACGATATTTAGATAATTAAGTGGCTTTAATTAACTACTACGCAACTAGGTGAAAATAAATTAATATTCTTCGTGTAAATTACGCGTGACTCGGCCACTCTGTATCGGTAGTGTTATTCGTATACGGATCTTTTCCGTAAATATTGAGTAGGACACCCTCATTATTCGCGAATTGCTAAACTTACGATTTTGCCTGGCGTTCGAACTGGCTCTGGCGCCAATACCGGGCTTTTACTTTTCCTGCTGTTGTATATACAGTATACATAATAAGGGAAAGTATTGGAACCGTATCAAATTTGACCCTCCGAGTTTTTCGCAAATCTACACCTTTTGAGATCCCCAAAACCCCCAAAAAGGTCAAAATAGAGGAAGATTTTCTTGTGTGCTGGCGTTTATTTCGTTTAATATCGAGAATGGGGTGAAGATTAAGCACGAAATTTAGCACGGTAGCTCGTATATAAGGGGCATAGATGCATAGAGGTGGTTAAAGTTTGAGGGGGTTGGGAGATAGGGACCACGCGTCGTATCTCGAATGTGGTCGCACTTAACGAATATTTCAGTTTATTGGCATTGACAATTTTTAAGAAACTCGTTTTGCCCTCAAAATTAAGCTTTTTTGTTTTCCTTTTTATAATCATTAATAATATAAAAGTTATTTTTAAATAAAATCTCGTAACGGATGGCGCTACACGGAAGTTTAAGTTTACTGCTACCAGCAGTGGTGGAGTGGATAAAAACAATGACCTTTTTAAGTACTTTGCGCAATCGAGTGCCAGTTATTCCGCGTATAAGAGCGCGGTCTTATACGCTTATGCACGAAATACGGGATATTAAATCGGCGAATCATTCCCGACGACTTCGATAAAGGGAAGTGACCTAACGACGTCGATTCGACGTCATTTTACGCTTCTCCATTACGCTAGAATCATAAGAAATTTTAAACAAAAGCAACGTGATTACTCTTCTTTAAAATATGACACGTAAACCCTTTCTCCCCACCCTCTCGACCTTTAACCACCAAACTTTAACGTCATCAATGTCCCTTGTTTACACGAAATTTTTTTTGACATTTTTGGATTCGGGAGGTCTCAAAATGTGGAGATTTGTAAAAAATTGGAAGGGCCAAATTTCACACGATTCCAATACTTTCCTTTGTTATGTATACACAATAACAAGAAAGTAAAAGTTGGGGCCTTTCTGTATTTATAGATGTATGCGTGTGGGAGGAACAATTTTGTCCACCCACTTTGAAACTTAGTAACTCCCCTGTCTTTTGTCGAACATTTCGGAGGGTGGTTTAAGTATTGGGACATCGACGCTATTCAGTTTTGGTGGTTAAAGGTCGAGGGGTCGTGCGTGGTATCTGGAGTGAGGTCGGGTTTAACGAAGATTATACTTGTAATCTGCATTTCATTTTTTTAAAATAAAATAACGGATGGCACCACACACAGTTTTAACATTTTTGCGGGGAAAGTCAGGCAACTGGTTGCTGTGTTTTTACAATTCAGATATCGATTACCTTGGATTCTGCCGATTATCTTTAAAGCCCGAAATACAAGGCGGATAAACATTTGAAGAGTTTTAGAAAGGGGAGAACATCGGACCAGATGTAAAAACGAAATCGAATCTCCAGTAATTAAAGCGCTTTAATTATTTTATTTAATTGACTAAAGTCAATATCCAATTTAAAATGTCGTGGGGTTTTACAGACCTCCATTATTGACCGGAAGGGGAGGAAAGGACCTAGATGTACGCTTCCCGTAATCGAATCGGCCGCCTTTAATTGGTTGGTAACGCGTTTTCGGTGGAAAAAAGTCCCGTTTAGAATCGTAATTATTAATATCGGTCGTTCGATTCGGGGTGGTCTAAAAGTCGGTTAACCATCTTAGAGTTCGAATTATTTATTCAAATATTTAAATGCCAGTTCCTCTATTGTTTCTCCATCAATTTGGTAAAGGATCGTATCCGGAACGCGCGAAATAAAATACGGTTAATCGAATTTTGAGCCTCCCCGAATGTTGACATAACTATTAGAATAATACATGTATACTATTGGGCTGCAATTTCTAAATTGCAGACCTATAAATTCTCACGAGAACGAAGGTGGATAGATGAAAATCCAGACCAGATACGGAAAACTTAAGGCCCGAGGCCCCGATTAATTATATACCAACAACTTCCGGTCCGGACTGGAAGTAAGGCGATTTGAATTCAAAACTTTTACCTCGCCGTATAGAACGATAAATTCGGCGAAGAGCCTACCCTTACGACAATTCAAATTAAAACGAGATTAGGAATTGCATCCGGGATGACGACGACGACGACGTCACGATGATTATTATAAAAGAACGGCCAATGACTAGAAGCGATTAAAAACACCGCTTACCTCATCTGACTCCGGTAAGATCTTGAGAAGTCCTCTTAGTTTCTCTGCTCCGATATCCTCATGGCAACCGTCTCTCAAGATCCTTATGATCTCTTCATTAGTGCTGAAAGGAGAAAAAGGAATGACATCCATCGATAACGAAATATGCTACCAACAGATCGACAGACCGTCGTCGAATCGTGTGACCCGACAGCCTGACGCAATGGGCACGAGAGAAATGGGTCGACCAAATAAGGAACAACGGCGATGATGTCTTATTGTTTTATCTTTTTCTTTTCTGCGCTACCGGTTGTTTCTCTAGTGTTTTTTTTTTCTATTCTTCTCCACGCGGGGTAATCCGTTATTCCGTTGGATCCCACGCGTTTACCTCTCTAAAATTTTTACGCCGATCCGCGCGATCGGATGCAGATTTCACCGGGAAAAACTCGTGTTATTTTATTACGGTCACGTGACGGTTTTCCTCCCTTTCCTTCCACCCCATCCGTTCGTGACACTACCAGCGCCATTGACCGATTTTAAACGAACGGAAACAAAACGTTACGACAAATCTAATTACGTCACAATCGACTTATACGGCTCGAGGAATTTCAATTCTTAATTAATTAATTCGATTATCAATTCCTCTTATGCGTTACGCCTTCTTCGGGGCCGAAGTGGGCGTAGACATTGATGATTTTTGGAATTTTTAATGGGTTTTTTTTCGTAAAATTTAACGAAAAAATCGCTTAAAACTAGCTTTTGCATTTAAATATTTAGGGAATTACCTACTTGAATATCTTACGCTTCGAGTTACGGGGTGGCCCGGAAGTCGGTTAACCGCGGTAAAGAGTAAATTTGTCTTTTATTATAATACTTACGAGCCTAGTGTAATATATTCTTATCCGGTACAGAAATATGAACGCTGGTCGACTCTGGGTTAACCGAATTTCGGGCCATCCTTACAATTATACTAATCGGGCACGTTAAGGCGGGTAAGGTGATTAATTCGTTAATAAGGGAGGCGTACGAGAGTGGTAAAGAGGAGTTTTGTAGGGTTTACCTTACGTAAACGAGCTAATAATAGGTTATAATTGATCGGGAAGTCTTTACGTCGAAAGGTTTCTGCAACAAAATATTAATATTTGAGAGAGTTAACAAACACCGGTAGATGATCGATATCGGGTTTACTTTATACACTGGAAAAAGATAAAAATAGATTTTCCAGTTTGTCGAATATCTGGAAAGATCCGAACCATTCTAGAAATTTCCAACGCCTTTTCAATAGGAAAAGCGTCGAATGTCCCCCCTTTTGAGAATAATTGATCAATTTCCTTCTTCAAATATTCACGTTGTGTTTCCGATGCGGATGTCGTCTCTCTCCTCCGGGCGACTCCTATTTAAATAACTATCTCTACTATAATTTCGGATGCTAGGGCCTACCGGGCCTACCGGGCCCCTCTATACTTTCTCGTCGCGCTCGATCTATCGTGTTTCTTTTCTTCTTCTTCTGCCAGGGTTATCCTTCTCGGTGGCGCGTTATAGCTTTACGGAGCCCGGACGAATTCGAATTAGGGGCCCCACGTAAGGCGTCGACTTCGGGCATTTTTCTTGGAGGGAATTTTTCCACGGAAGTATTTTCTAATAAGAGATCGTTGGTAAAGGCTCCGAGCAATTGCCCATCCTTCTCTTCGGTAAAGGGGACGAGGGCGGTGCCCCAACCCGGGGGCTACGAAACCAGTCCGTAGAATGTCGAATCGGGGCCCGGGCTCGTCGTTAAGCCAGTTACCCGTTAAGAATCGGGAGAGTGGCGCCATCTATGAAGAGAAAAACGAAACACGAGGGGGAAAGAATTTCGTAATGAAGGTATCTTTTCTTACAGGAACCAGTTTTGTTGCCGTAGAATAATAAACACGACAGATTCCTTTTTATCTCCCGACTTTTCATTCTATTCCACGGCCTAGATCATTAATCATTTGGAAACTGACAGGGGTTCCGTCCCGACTCTTTACTCCCAGCAATCTGTTAAATTTGATTTTTAACATTGGTTAAACCCAACAAATATTAATCTGCCCTTAAATACAACCTGACTAAATTGGATTAGACTTTAAAACACTTAACTTTTACCTTTAATTTTCGCCTCGAAATACAAGTCGACCCCCATATAACACTGTTGATAATTCCGTTTTATATGAATTCCGTGTTATACGAGTCACTTAGATTTTACAAATACGTGAGACGTTCAAAGTCCGGCACACATATTTGTAAAATCTAAGTGACTCGTACAACACGGAATTCATATAAAACGGAATTATCAATAGTGTTATAGGGGGGTCGACTGGTATCGAAAAACTCGTTTTGGTGCTTACGGAACCTCAAGAACGATAAACTTCCCTCGAAAGTAAATTTAACTTTGTGTTAAATAATATAAAAAAAATCGCTTTTTTAAAATGAAAATACCTCGTTTAAATCAAATTGTAGACCGTGTTCCACCCCATTCGACCGAAATTCCAGTGGGAAAGGGATCGAAAACGGTGCGGATTATACGGAAATTACTATGGATATTAAATTTATATGCCGAAAAGTAGGGTCAAACTTCCATACGGAGCCACCCTCGATACAGCGCGCAAATAGGAACATTATCGCCAAATTACGTGACTTTCGCCGCTCAAACTTATACGAGGATTAATTCTTATTGTTCCGGGTGCCTCGGTGTAACACCCGGAGGCGCTACATCGAAGTTCGGCCGTATGTATTTATGAGGAAATAACGCGATATAATCATAAATATAGTTTATTAATTAATATTTACCTGCGGAACTGTTTTAGGAAAATGTTGATGTTGAGGCTTCGCTTGCCATCCAGCAAGTTCACCTGAAGAATAAACATTTAGTTTAATTTTAAAAAATTCCATAAAAGTATATTAAATTTTAGCCATAATTTTATATAAATCGGCGATTAAAATGAGCCTAATCGGTACACGTTTATGGACGAGCCAAGGTCGATTTTACCTTATCCAAAATAGGTATAAACAAACAGGTAGAGGAGGCATTAGTCACCGATTTATTCCATTTAAACGATTTAAATTTATCGTCCATAAAAAACTCGATCTGACTCATTCCTCCGATATTTATAAAAATCAGCAACGAGTGGCGTAAATTTCCCCAGCAAAAAAAAAGTTAACATTGCGCGTGGCGCCATCTGTTACGAGATTTTATTTTAAAAAGTCTTTTATATTATTAATTATTATAAACGGGTAGAAGGCTTAATTTCGAGGGTAGTGATTTTATAAAAGAAAGTAAAGGCGAATAACGAATAACATCGTCAAGTCCGACGATCACATTCGAGACAGGAGGCGTCACCTCCTGTATTTCGCCATTCCTTCACCTTTAACCTCCGAAATTTAGTAGCATCGAGCCCTCTAATACGCAAAACTTTCCGCCAAATTTCGGAAATTTTCGACAAAGGGCACGGGAGTTATTAAGCTTCAAAGTGGATGTACAAAATCCATACATACAGGAAAAATCCTTTCCCCTTTTTTTAACCCACAAAAATAGAATTTTAAATAGAAACATTTTTATATGTTCTTCTAAAGCGGCACGACCAATTTATAGGTCAATATATAAATAATTCCAAAAAAATACTAAATTTAGTGATTTTACTTTTCCGGATGTTGTAACATATTCGTTTGTACTGTACATAACACGGGGAAGTATTGTAATCGTGTCAAATTTCGTCCCCCGGGTTTTTCTGCAAATCTCGACGTTTCGAGACTCCCTAGACCCAAAAAAGGCCAGATAAAGGGGGAAATATTCCGTAGATGTGTGTGCACGCGCCAGTGTGTGTGTGTGTGTTGGCGTCTATTTCGTTTAATATCTCAGGATGGAGTGAAAATTACGAAACGAAATTTGGCACCGTATCTCGAATATAAAGGGAATTAATGCTATTAAATTTTGGAGTAGGGAAGTCTAGGGGGTGGAGAAATAGAGAGGGGTCGAGCGTCGTAACTCGAATGGTGTCGGACTTAATGAAAATTTTACTGGTTATTGGCATTTATAGTATTTTTAAACTACTCGTCTCTATATTCAGAATTAAGATTCCTTTCTATAATATTTAAGGATAAAAAACGACTTTTCAATAAAATCACGTAACAGATGGCGCCACACACAATTTTAACTTTGCTCTAACGGCTATGTTAGAGATTCATAAATAAGTAATTTCGGTATAAAAACTGTGCGTGGCGGATAATTAAGAATTCAATAATTTGTATAAAGAGTAAGAAATGAATCGCCCGGTCGATATAAGTTTACGTGGGATGTTTAATGTCACACCAGTGGCCGAATGGATAACACTACCGCACACTGGTAGTTAGTGGTGGATTCGTGCCTACCACGTGGAGTTTTCCGGGATTTGTTCGCGTTCGCAACTCCTAAATAGGGGCTAGTTTCCCGTAGGAAATCCCTAGTAAACCCTACAGGTATTTAGCTAAGTAATTCGAACAACAACAACAAAAATACTACGTTGGTACCTCGTACTTCGAACGTTCCAGAGTTCGAACGCCCTCGAGAAACGAATTCAATTCGAAGTACGAGGCACTGGAAACGAGTTTTTAACATCCACGATACAGGGTTTAAGTCTTTGAATAAAAAAAGAGACATACTTTGTGACGTGTTTGTATATGTGTGTGCACGGGCGTACGTAACATCGGATGTTTTAACACGCGTTCGGTTAAACAATACTCGCACAGACCACACGAATAAATCAAATTCTTTCTCACAAAGCATTCGGATCACCCCGTACATCGATTTTCTATTTTAATTTGTTGGAAAGACCGAATTAAAATCGTTTATAATCCGTCCTTTTGTGAGACGAATCGTAATATTTTTCCCAATTAAACGAAGGGGCGTATTTCCGAATTCAATTTAACTGAGTTATTAATAATACAAGCCACGATAGAGGATCGACCGAAAGATCAAAGTTTGTTGTTAAATTTGTATCCGTTCGTCGATAAAACACTACCGCTAAGGTCACGGCGAATGACGTCACAATGACGAGGTGAGAGGAGGGGAAAAAATGGTTCCGACACGTGAACTCTAAAGAGAGAATTTATCCGAATAACCTAAACTCGGGTGCTGGCAAATCGATAGTGTATATATATATATATATATATATATGTATGTATATATTGGATGCTGACAGGCTGTTTCCATGACAACATCCGAGGATGATTGCGCAGTCTGGTCGTCATGGAAACACTAGCTTACGTGATTGCAGTAGAGACGTTACTACGTAGAAAATAATAATGACAATAATAATAATACACATACCTTCGATATTAATTTATATCGTTGTTAAATATTTAAATTGGATTGCAAATTAATCAAAAAAATGTGGCCGATATCATTTGAAAGTTATAAATCTCGATCGATTTACTATTTTATTTATTATTTTACGTAAATTAAATTTTAAATTACTGTATTTTCTTTATGATCTTAGATTTTGCCACGGAGTTTGCTTTTATTATTTTATAACGAGAATAATTCATTAAATATTTTATTATATTATTATTAATGTAGTGTGGAACCACAAATCCTCTACTTTATTCCCTGTAAAATAAGATTAGATAAATAAAAATGTAGGTTAGTAGCCACGGCAACCCGCTTAAAACGGAACCTTACGTTTTATACGGGTTTTACCTATGTTTAGAAGCGATTCTCCTGTGTAATCGTAATTTCGGCACCGAAAAAGTCCGTTTTAAACGGGTTTTCGGCTGATTAAAATTGTGTCCACTATAAAACTTAATTATTTCGTCTAACGCGGTAATGTAGGAGTAGTCGACCGCATTAAAATTTATCTTGTAAATCCAATTTAAATTTTACCTTGTAAAAGGTGAGATTTCACTCTTACAATAATTACAAAATAAAAAGCAGACGTTGGAAAGTGCGTAACGTACGTCTGGACGTTAAACACTATCCGAAAACTCATTAAATAATTAAAATACATTTTATTGCGGACAACACGAATCGATGGAGTCGAACGTTTTTGTTGTTGTTGCCGATCGCGAACAATGCCGTAATTATAGTACATTCGAACTAATCATTACTAATTACCGTATCCGTTGAAATAATTAAAAAGTAAGATATTCTAAATTGATAAATTGGGGATTTGTATAATTATAAACTAGCGATAATGGGGGGATCTTTCTGTTATAATTTCGATAAATTCGTTTGTATATACTGACTTATACACGAATTACGACAATGTTTACAATGTAATCTTTATAATACGGTATAATGATTGTATATAATACGCATAGATTATATATGTTACCGCTAAAGCTCGAAAGTCGTTAATCTGCAGATTAACTAGAACTTTCGCATTTAGATTAACTAGAATTTTAGCAACTTTAACTAGAACTAGTTAAAGTTGCTAAAATTGTTCCATTTCTCAAATTACCTAGGTAATGTGCAGAGTATCTAGGTAATCCGCGCATTACCTACTAGGCACTCGGTAAAGTGAAAATAAGATCTTTGCCACAAATAAATGTACCACAAATAGGTGTGCTTGTCGCAGAAACCAATTGCTACGAAATTCAAAGTCTCACCAAACTTTAGACTGCACAATTGGTTAATGTTACCTATGGTGGGTAAAATGGCGGCTCGTGTCCGATTCCAGCAAAGAGAAAAAAGGAAACAGTGGGGAAGCACCTTCAAACCTAACCTATTCTAATAATTTGCTTGGTAATAATTATGGTAATTTATTAGAATAGGTTAGGTTAGGTTTGAACGCGCGTCCCCACCGTTTCCTTTCTTCTGTTTGCTAGAATCGGAGACGAGCCGCCATTTTACTCACCATAGGTAACATTAACTGCACAATTACATCACGCCATCACCAGAAAAAGTATGATAACTTTACTATTTTTCGTCTCCGGTCCAAAAGTAGGGTATCGTCGAAGTCGTCTCGGTCCCCTCAGTTCAGAAAGATACTCGAAGTCCCGAAATTCCATAGGTGGTTATCTGTATAGGCCCTAATAATTTCCGTAATTGTATTAATATTTTAAACCGCTTGATTTTTTTGTATGTTTTTTAATTGGTTGATGATTGATTCTATCAACTAATTTGTCGATTGTTTGATTGTATTAACTCGATTCTTTAGATATTGAAAATTAAATAAAGAACATTATGTTAATTTAAGCGTACAGAAACGTTGCTGTTGTTCCAGCAAAGATCTTATTTTCACTTTACCGAGTGCCTAGTAGGTAATCTGCAGATTAGCTAGATAATGTACGCATTAACGACTTTCGAGCTTTAGCGGTAACATATATAAATGTATACGATTGTATATAATGATTGTATTGTAAACTTCGTCGATATTTAATATAAATTTGTGAGAGAGGATTAGAAGCGAAATTGTAAATATTTAATTGCGATTTCACAGAAAGAAAGTCGACATACGCAAAATTTCATTGAAATATTTCGTTAAGAAGTCGAAATATCAGAATATTTTATGAATTACTTTTGATAATCGAACGACTAACTGACGAAAATTTCGAAAGATCTCCGTAAGCGTTAACGTGCATTTGTATGTACTGCACAAGAAGGGCAGTGATTTACTGGCAGTTTGAAAAACGTTTACTCACCTCCATAGATTCCCTTTTCTTTCTCTCGAGACTGTCCGTTCTGTCTCTTCCTCCCAATCTGGGGGATGATTGTCCGTTTAGCATGGAACTGGTTTGTTGGCAAAATAGTCCTTCCATAATATCGAAATCCAGGTCGTTCTTACAACCTTTGTGAGTCTTGGCCACTAACGACCACAAATTGTCTTTTCCTATCACTTTCTGACTCGGTATCTTGCACCAATTGAGGGTCTTCATCTTGGTCTTTGGCTTTGGTGTCTCCAGTTGAGGAAGCTTGATGCCGACGGTGGGTGCCAATCCTCCGGGTAAGAATGGCCCGCCCGGAGGGGGAGGCGGCGGGGGCGGACAACCTAACGGTGGAGGGGGTGGAGGCGGAGGCGGAGGTGGAGGAGGTGCGGGCGGAGGTAGACTCGGAGGAGGAGGAGGCGGCGGCACCGGTGGTTCTTGAATTTTGTGTGTGGGCGAATGGCAAGCGTGGTTGGCGTGACGAGGCACCGGAGGCGCCAGACAGGCGTGAGGCGGTACGGGTGGAGGCTGGCAGCAGTGAGGAGGTACGGGTGGCGGCTGGCAGCAGTGAGGAGGCACGGGCGGAGGAAGACATTGAGGATGCTCCGAATGTTCCGGAAGACACGGTGTGGTCGGTGTAAAAGGTGTGGCGGGAGTACATCCGGGTGAAACCAGTCCGGTGAAGGATAATTGAGAAGTGACGCGCCTGCGTAATCTACTATCGCAATCCTCCGATTTGTGACACGAACATTGGCACATTCTCAGTCTGGTGTGACTGGGCGATCTCAGCAGTTTTTCCGAATCCTGTTTAGACTCTAGCAAAGTGGCACGGTGGACCAGAGTCTCGGCCGTGTCCCAAATAATATCAGAAATCGGTTGGCTGCTGTCGATCCTCAATAGATGCTGAAGCAGATTGAGAAACGGTGCTTCTTGTGGAGTTTCCGATACCTGAGGCAGAAGAAAAGCTTTATAACCCAATCGATAATTTCCAAAGGGATATTCGATTGCATAATAGACCTTACCTGCCTGAGTATGGCATAGAACACATCTAAATGGCTATTTAGGTCCACTCCATCGGGTCCGGTTAATTGACTCTCATCGGTTTCACGCTGCTCTTGGAAAACATCCAACTGCACTACCAGATCGGATTCGGGATTGTTAACTACTTCTCTTCTATTCACAATAAATAAATAAAGAAATAATAGCACATTTCAGACACAACACGCTTTAAATCGCAGGTTATGGTTATTTAATTAGAATGAAGTATTTTTACCTCATTTGAGCAATTAAATCCAGAATTTTCAGACCTGTAAATTAAATTAGTTTTTAGTACGCCTCTTATAAAACAACATTCTTTTAAATCGAAAGTCTCGAATATAAAGAGCTTGTTTGCATACAAACAATGGATCTACGAGATTAAATCGGACGCGATTGCACTTAATGTTTTTTTATTTTCCTCCTGTCAAGAAGATAGCTGCAATACTTAAATAAACAGTTTGACATCCATTATATAAAAAATAATACTAAGTTCTACGTCAAGAAACGTGACAGTTAGAATGCATTTGGTTGTTGGCGTGTTAAAACCCCCGAAACTCCCGACACAATTGCATAAAAATTGAAGAATGGAATACTTTAAAATTTCGTATGTATTTAAGTACTGTAATGTACGAAATTTCGTACGTTTCGGAACGTATTTTATACACGGTTTATCTATAAAAGTGCAGTTGCAGTGTTCGAATATAATTTAACAGAAATAAACCGGCAGCTCTTTCTCCTCGACACTTTTATTACTTCAATGATAAATCGATTAAAGGTCTGACGACATTAACATAAGTTTTAAAGTCGTTTAAATTGTTTAAAAAAGAAAATAATATTATCTCGCTCCGCTTTCTCCGAAAGTCTGCCGTGTTCACGCGAAACTATAACGTCTTTTTTTCGAACTAGTGCTTGGTTAATTATAGTGGAATCTGGCTAAAATTAAATTAGATTTAATTTTCTGATATTAAAATCAATATTTAATTTATTCGCGAAACTCGATACGCTGGGTTTCGTAGTTAACTGGCAACGGATCCGTCAAAATTCTCGTGAAAAAACAACGAAATACACGAGTTTTATTGATTTTCCGCGAGAATTTTGAGATTTGTTGGCAGATTCTCTCAAATTCCATCTGTGAAATTCCACTTCCTCCCAAAATCAAAGTTTCCAAAAATAGAATTTGGGACGTACACCGAAAATCCGCAATTTCTGATCCTAGATCAGAATAAGCGGTATCGGTATTTAGTTGTTTATGGTCTTTCCAGATAATTTCAATGGGCACAGTTATTTTAACTTCGTTCAAAAACATTATATTCTCACATAGGGGCAAATCTGAAGTAATTTCCCACGTAATACATCGCTATAAAATTAATTTTATGAAGATAATATGCTGCGAAACCCTTACATTCCACACTCAGGTGTGAAGAGCACGTTTGGTGTTTACAATTGAAGATAAATACAAAAGGGGAGAAATTTAGTTGCGTGAAAATTGCTGGGATCCATTTAGTTAGAAGGGAGACGGTGGGAAGAGACAGATGGAAACTCTGCGGATTTAAAGAGAATGCGAAGATATTACAGATACGGTAAATAAAATACCAATATGACGTAACTAAAAATCGTCATAGACGTCTATTTCTATTTCGTTTACAAGTTTAAACTTGCTTTCAATAAATGTTTTTGTGTATATTATTCGCCTTCAATTTCTATTGACTGAGCCGTAATCGTTGTTTTTTCTGTCAACGAATCGGATCGACAAAAATTCCGGCTACGAGTTGCGTAACTTTCCCGACAAAAAAGTTAATGTGAGTGGTGAGATTTTATTTTTAAAATCTTATTTTCATTGTTCATTATTATAAAGTGGCAAAAGCTTAATTTCGAACATAGAGACGAGTTTCATAAAAAATTGTAAATGTTAATAACCAATAAAATTTTCATTAATCGGGCATCCTTCTCTCTATCTCCCCATACCCTTCACTTATAATCATCAAAATTTAATACCGTCGATGACCCCAATACGCAAATCCCCCCTTTAAATTTCGATAAAGGGCACGGGGGTTATTAAGCTTTAAATTGGGTGAATAAAATCGTACCCCCATACACACACATCCGTACATACAGAAAACACCTCCAAAATTTTTTGCATTTCTCGATGGTTATTAGTCCCCCAGTTCAAAAATATAAAAATCTTGGGATCATTTTTGACCTATCGCCATACTTTCCTTCTGTTATATGTTTGTTTGAGAAGTTATGGCAATCTGCCTAGGGGAAGATGCTTTCCGGGATGTCATTTTAAGGGTAACTAGTCTCTATTTAGGCATTACAGACGTGGGGAAAATCCGGAAAACTCTACGTGGCCAGCCCATCCTGACAAGGCACGAACCCACGACCGAACTCCCAGTATTTAGGGAACGGAACAGCATGGCCACTAGCGAGCCCCGTTATATGTACGTGTAGTGTGGGACAATGAATTTGACATTTTTTCCTGTAGAATTTCTAACACGTTTTTGCCCAATACATGAAAGAATAGTAGCAAGTTTCGTCACCTTAACAGGGCGTAATGGCTCCCTCTCTTGCATATAAATTCCATTAAAAACTTTAATTAATGAACGATTTTGTAATGGTTTATATATTATCAAAAACACTTACTAAAACACCTTTTCTTGCAGCCGACGTTTATTAAAAAAAAACTTTCACAGAGATTCGAAAAAAGAGTTATTTGTACTAAGTGTTCGATTTACATTTTTGTTGTTTATTTAATTTTATTTTTCTTGAAAAAGGTCTTTTAATAAGACCGAAAACGTGTGAAAGTTTTTTCTAATAAACGTCGGCTGCAAGAAAAGGTGTTTTAGTAAGTGTTTTTGATATTAAAATATGCAGTCTAGAACGATTTGGTTTATATATTGAAGTCCTTTAACGATTTTTAAATATTTTATACTCGAATGAAATCCGAGATCCGAAAACAAGAATAACGAAAATTCCAACGAATTACGGTATAAAAAATTTAATTTTATATTCTCGACTTTTAGAATTATATCTTTATGATCCTTTGTCCATTTTGATTGTCTTTTCTTCGTGACTGCCGATTAATTTAGTTTTTTTCGATAGTTTGGAGCCTGTTAAATGATATTTCTTGGATCTATCTTATTGTCTAGAGCTAACAGAAACTTCACACTAGTCCAACAATGCTTTTAAAGTTGTCGGGGAAAATTTTGGCTTCTGAGTAACCAATCATTCAATTGCTCTTATCGTCCCCTTCCATTATTTTTCGTATTCTTTCACAATTTTGACAATTCGTTGGTGTAATTGGCACATTCAGTCGAAAATTCTGCAATTTTTTAAAGCAATTTGTTGACGAATTTCTCTTTATTTTTCCTCTCTTGCCGCTATGATTATCTATCCTTTCCATTTTTTTATGTATTTTTAACTGATTAAAAATGCTATCTTAATTTTAAAAATAATTAAAAGAGATTGCAAGACTCATTTCCACTCTGTTCTAATCTCTCCTTTCTCCGTTACCTTTTGGTAAATAAAAGATGATGCTAACGGTGATTGAAATAATACGTTTCTCTTCTGTAAGTTCCCGAAATTTCGTCTTGCCGGCTCTTCGCAAAAAGAATTTTTGACGAAAATAAAATCGATAATTCTTAATTTATCCAAATACTAAACAATACTCGAATTAAATGTTGTTATCCATTTATTAAATGGAAGTTTGATCGTTATATACGAACACATTTAGTGAAATCGTACGAAAAAAATGGACCTAAAACAATATTCAACCTCTCATATTTAAAAATAAACACGTTCTAAATGTGTTTAGGCATAGGATTGTTTCCAGAGACAAAACGAGAATAAATTTGAAAGTGTGGAGATGGTAAAAATGACAAATTTATTGTCCAATGTTGGACAGAAAAGCTGTCGAACGACAATAAATGCCGAAGTAACAATATTCCCCGGATACCAGCGTCGTCACTATCAATACTAACAAGTAAGTGGCGTTGCCACACGCCTCTTCATTGGCAGTCTCACAGCGAATAACAATATGACGAAGGCAGAGTCGATGGCGACAAATGTAATAAAGACGTTTTCGGTGTGGAAGATATGACAAATTTCCATTCGACATAACAACCGGGCCGCAGTTAAATATTAATGTAAGATGGTCTCCATCGGGCGGAACAATACTCCCCATTGCTCTCTGGAGTGCGTTATAAACAGAAAAATCTACCAGTGATATAAGACAATGGCAAATCACCTCCTCGCCATTGTCTTCCATGGCAAATCACCTCTTAAATTTCGGCCTTATTACGCCTTATAAAACTATAAATTTCCCTATTAATACACTAACTCCTCGTTATATCGCGCCATCCGATATATCGCTCATTTGATGCGATATAACGAGGAATTAGTGTGTTAATAATACACTTTTGTATTTAATTTTTATGAAATTTTTAACTGGCATCCATATCCATCTTCCGAAATTCATTACGGGGTGATTATATAACAATTTTAAAATAGTATGAATAAAATATGCATTGTAATCGCATTCACGTTTTAAATTGTTAATGAGTCGGCAAGAAATGAATGATTTCAAAATATAAAATTTCCTATTAAAAGAACAATTTAAAATTCCGATTGGAAGATGAAAAATCCAGTGTAAATAATCCATAAATGTATTTTAAGATGTCATAAATAGTAATTTTTCTTATTGAAATGCGCTGTTCCAGAATGGGATGAGTCTTTTACGCTGTTTTAGTATCTAATTTTCATACTATAAAGTACATCTAATAGTAAAGTACTGTAATTTTTATAGAATTAGTCTGAGAAGTCACAGACCAATTGTGTGAAAATTACAGTACTTTACTATTTTCCCGGCTGTCAGAGTATGGTAAACTGTCAAAAAAATGATCCCGCCCAAGCTTTTAACATTTTTGAACCTTGAAATGTCGATAAATGCAAAAGAAGGAAAACAAAATGGAGGTTTTCTTTATGTATGGATGTTTCTGTGTTTATGTGTGGGAGTGCGATTTTGTTCACCCACTTTGAAGCTTGGTAACTTCCATATCTTATGTCGAAAATTTCTGAAATTTGGCGAGAATATTTGCGTATTAGCGGCATCGATGTTATTACATTTTGGAAGTTAAAAGTCGAGGGGGTGGAGAGATACGGGCAGTCGCGTGTCCTAGGAGTTCAACTTAACGAATATTTAACTGGTTATTAGCATTTACAAACATCTTTTAAAAATAAAACTCGTCTCTACCCTCAAATCTAAGCTTCTTACCATTTTATTTCAAATAATCAAGAATATATAAACTTTTTAAATTAAACTCTTAAGAGATGGCGCCACGCACAACTTTAACTTTTATGCCGGGAAAGTTACTTATTTTATTGCTGGAGTTTTTTCAATTAAGTAGATTAGAAATATATTATTTTTTTCAAAAGTAAAAATGGGGGTGCGCCTTATATGCCGGCATACACGGCATGTAAAAATGATTCTGTAATATAATATTAAAAAACAATTTTTAATATTACATTCAACGTTGCCGTATTGCATTATATTCAGCATTCAACATTTAAATTCTCGTCCAGGATAGCGAGACAGTAAAATTGTTAAAAATTTCGAGATCCGGCAACAATGAAACCTCTTTTGAGTCTAAATTAATGACGAGTATAATTATGCAAATGTTCTGACGTCATCATTAAGTAACGATTAAATTTAACAAATCCATTTAATTTATACCGATTGGATTACTGGGTGGTTTGGCTATTGTTTTAACAATTCGAACAATTACTGGTTTAATTAGTTTAAAAAATAAATCGGTAATTCGGGTGCCAACTCTTACCTATAAACTCGTTTCTGGTTCTGACTCTTTCTCTTACGGATGATGCGGAGATGATGGTGCAGTTAACGAATGCCATTAAGGAGGTTTGATACTCAATTGTCTTCGCCGAGCGTAACTCGTCCACCACCAGTTTGAACCTGTATCTTTCATTTTTCTGGTTCTATAAATTAAATCCCGGTTTAGGTAACCGTCGTTAACGAGAATAAAAAAAATATACAAGGATAACTCGTAACTTACTTTGTAATTTTCTAGTGTTTCGAGTGTTCTTTGGTAACCTTGAGAGTTGTACACGCAGAGGGCCGACAACAGTTCGAACACTTGCTTTTTAACGGTGACGCTACTGGTGTCTAGAGCTGAAACGAGAAAACATTAATTCCTTAAGTACATTTAGGGCCATCTTGCACATAAATCTTTTCGACCTTTATAAAATGCTGGCCAAGTAAAATGCAACACCTGCAATATCTAGAGGCCTACATAGTGTCGCATTTTACTTGGCTAGCGGTATACATATGATCTCGCGAAATTTGTAAGAGATATTCTTAAAAGAATTTAAATTATTTCTCTAGCCAATCGCCGTTAAGATCGCCACGCCGTTCGACCAATCGATTTCACTTTTTATGCGCTTGTTTACAAACGGAGTCTTAAAAAAACGTTTAGTTAATTATTACGATAATTAGTCGCTAGAATAAACGAAATAATCGACATTTTATCTCCCGCCGCAATAACGAGTTAATAATAAATTTACAATGGCTTAGGGTAAATGGCGACGAAATTTTTATGAGAAAATACGTAAACTGGTGTAAAGGATCAGATTTTCTCCTTCCTCCCCATTAAAAATGGCAATGGAGAAACGAGACGAGAACATAAATTCCGAAATTTAATTAACTTAAAACAATACGGTAAACAATAAAGGATGATTCTGGAATAAAAACTATGCCGAGCGGTGTTGTTACTAAAAGAAAGTCTATTATTTAAATATCGAAAGAAAGTTTGTAGTTTCGAAATGGTTCTACGCTGGCCGGAATCGTTTCTGACGTTAACAAAACAATTGTTATTAGAAAAAATGATGACAAAATGATCGATAAACGACGGTTAAATCAACGGCACAAGATAGTAGATTGATACCAATGCAATCAATTTTGTTATTGGCTACCGTTGGGGAGGACCCGGGATCGAATCCGGGCCAACAACCCGGGAAATCTAAAGGCATCCTTTCGTAAAAAAACGTTGCACTCGGATCAATTTACAACTAACGAGGACGGGGGAGAGCACGGTGGCACAATTTCTTCTTTAAATTTAATTTATTTTACAAGTATTCGCATATACACACGCCGATTTCACTAAATCGCCACTCGGAACTTACAAAAGAGCGACGTATCGACATTTTATCAGGCGATTCGGTCGATATATATATATTTTTTAGAAAGGCAAACTGGCAAAATTCGGAAAGAAATCTCTGAAAGCATTACGAAAATCCTTTGACCGTAGAAGCATTTGGGTCATAAATTCTGTATAATACTAGAGCAGAGCTTTATTTGAATCGCTCTGCCGTAAAACCATCGAAATTTACGATTTTTTTCTTTAATTCCCGCCGGTAATAATGCGATAACGCTTTGATATTTTAAAAATATCGCAATTTTCGGAATGATTCACCCGAAGAACGGAACAACTGCAAAGTTGATCTTAAAGCAAAACAAATTACAAAATAATCACCCGTAAAATATGCGGAGGAGAACCCACTTTTAGAGAAAAACCCGCCTTCCAAAAATGAAATTTATCGATTTTCGGCCACTTATCTCGCTTCCTCCATTTTTTTTAATTAAAAATATAGATAAATGGCTGGGTGGCGTATAAAACGAAAGGTGAAATTCAGATTATTGGAGAGATAAACGAGTAAATCGAAGTAAAATCCAAGAAAATTTCTCGTTGTATTAAAGTGTATGCGAAAGAGTTAAGTTTTTAATTTGTTACGCTTAACTACTTAAACGATTTCGTGTAAATTTAATATGAAATTTTTCTCTTTTATTAAATTAAGACGACGAGCGTTTACTTCTCGGGCTGGTGGCGTGATTAATTTGGCAACTTATCTTTTTCTTCGCCCTCTCTAAAGCTAATTAGTCGAACTTTTTCCGGATAAACATCGTTCGATGCCGCTAATCGAAATTCGTAAGATGACACTTGACAAAAATAAAACTATATTTTCCACGGTCGTTAGTAAATTCTGTAACGATATAAACATTTTAAAATACACAAAAATTCCTTCAAACTCTTCGCTACTATGCGAGTGCTTCGTAAACGTTAGTTATGACAAATTGTGTATTGTTGTACGAAACAAAACGCTGTCGGCTAACTTTTGGTCCACCCTTCGTTGCCATACAAAATTACAAGTGGCTTCTGAACTACGTATCCTATCAGTTAAATTTTTATAATAACTGTAAACATTTTTTAAACGTTTGATACTCTCGAGGAATACGGCAGAATAATTCCATATAAAACTTAGATTATTCGGTAATTTCCGGCAGGCATACGGATTTAGAGAAGCGTATTCTATCGATTATTCTATATTATTCCCTAAAAATGAATAGGGGAGATCGGGGCAAGATCGGCATGTTAAGCTTTACTTAAATTTTGTGTAATAAATACTGCTGTAAACTGAAAAAAAAGCTTTGCATATTGTCTATTGGAATGTTACCTTACTATAGAACTGGTTAAAATCAGTTTGGAAATAAAAATAATTAAAATAATTACAACTTTACAAGAAGAGAGAAATTGACGAAGTTGCCCCGGGTATAGGGGCAAGATCGGCAACTTCTCTCTTTTTGTAAAGTTGTAATTATTTTAATTATTTTTATTAAAGTTGCCCCTGGTATAGGGGCAACAGTAATGGGGCAAGATAGGCACGTATATAAAATTATGTTATTAACAATGTATAAGTTGGAATTCACTATTAAAACAAAGAAATACAAATCCAACACCCATTTAATATTATTACAACGAAATGCAAGTTCAAAGACATATATACATGAATAACAAATGCAAACATGTTTTCATTTATCATCTGTTTGATTTTTATCCTTTGCTTTTAATGTGGCTTTATGTTGCCGATCTTACCCCGCTAGTCATGATTTCGAAACATTAAGTACAACCCTGAGAACAGAATGCCAAGCCACGATCTGGCCACGTGAATAAGTTGAAGTTACATCCTTCTAACAGGAAAAGTAACTTTCGTTATCATGGAATTATAACAAAACCTGCCAATTCAATATAAATGGAAAAAAATATTATATGGAATTGAACGAAAATGAAAATTTGCTTGATAATTCAACTACGCTTGTTGGAGAACAATAAAAACACTACACTCAACAAGCCACCAATAAAACTCAACTGCCTAACCTATAACCAAAGTCTCCTTTTAATTTGTTTTTAAAAAAAAGCGCTTGACAAACTTGCCCCGCTTGCCGAAGTTGCCCCGATCTCCCCTATATATATAGGAAATAAACCGATTACAATTCAAATTACATTAATCCTCTTCTCGTAATTAAATTTAACACGCAGATTAATCAACAATAATATTCCGGGAATTACACAATTACGGCAATTTTAGTCAATTGGAATGACGGCCTTCGCCCGTGGAAAATCGTCAAAGAAAGTAACACGTGCGAAAGACACAGTCGAATTTGGATTTATCGTTACCCGTTTGTAAACTTCTAGAATTGGCAATAAATGGAGTACGGCGCTAAATCGAATCACCTTAAATAACGAGAATAATTTCCGATAATTATAAGTATATATACCAGACTTCACTATACAAGAAAGATCCGGTATCGGTTGGCACTTTACCGGAGTAGCGCTATTTAGGAGAACTCTACATCGAGGTTTGGCCGTAGTTCTCGTTGTTTGAAATAATTACTCGTATTTTTCGTAAAGAAATAACGGGCGTATCGATAATAAATGTTGTTATAATTGTAATTTCTTCGGCGTATTGACTCCGTATTCGATTTATATTATTTACTGTACCGTTAAATTTGCAATAACGTATCGGAATCATATAAAGCTTTTACTAAAATTAAATCCCAACAGCAATTACCGTTCGACTCCCATTCCACAATTTTTCTCTTTTGGGATGGAAATCGTTGAATGGTTTTCCAACTTCGGATTCCGATAATTTTATCGCAACAAACTAAGTGGAAACTTCACAAAAATTTTCAGTAACAACAGACAATTTGAACAATTCTTTGGTCGATGGAGGGACGACTTTTACATAATTTCAACATTCTTTGGTTAGTTTACATCGGGGATTCCCGGGGGGTCGATGGTAAAATCGGACGCTTATTGTACTTTTTCCAAGAAGAATAATAACAATCGCGCGGGAAATTCGTTCCGATTTAGTAATTCACTCGATATATTACGCAAAATCTTCAGAAATTACATAAAAGTATGGGGACCAACGCGAGAAAAAGGTTGGAAAATCCCGGTTTATAACGTATATAAACGGAAGCGAAGTTTTAAATTAAAAAAACCTCCCAATTCTACTCGAGAAAATGGCGTTCGGCGACATTTTCCAATCGAGATTTAAAATAATCGACTCGATTCTATAAAATACTCTTAGAATTTCCCGGAAAAAAAATCCGTAAAAGATTTATCGGAAATTTCCCTAACGCCTTTAAGATTCTAGAGATTCTAAAACATTGCAAACTCCGACTCTTTAAATTCGACTTAATCTTATCACTTTTTGACGTTTATTGACGTCCGATACCGCCATTTTTCTTATAGATAACTAAACTATTTCGGAAAAGATAAAATGTATGTAAATTTCGTTGACGGTATTCCGGAAAAAGAAGAGGAAAACGCAATCGTATAAAAAGTATTCGACCGGCGGGTCGAACTCTTCAGTCGATAGTCGAAGCTCGGATCGATCTTATCGATCGGAATAGGTTCTTGCAGACGTCGGTAGGAGAATTGTTGGTACTTTAGTCCTCCATTCGCCTCATCGAGAATGGAGTGTAGACATTTGCAGTTGACAGTTACGGCAAAAGGAATTAAACTACCGCGTGTGCCCGAGCCGTAAATGGTAGGCCATAAAGAAAGCCGGCATCTTTTTGAAGATTAAAACGTGAGCACCAATTCTAGTAAACCGTATACCGACCGGAGCCAAACGTTTTACTGGCAGGTGACAAGAGGGTGGTTTGAATTTTGATAGATGAACGGTCACATTATACCGCCACGAACACGTCGAATTTATTTAACGTCTTATTCGCGCGGATCCCGCTACGTTTTATGCATAAAAATCAATCGCGTGAGTAAATAACTTCCGCGCAATTAATTCGGTGTATTCGAGTAATTTATGAAGTTT